TCCATTTGCCTTATCTTCCTGGTGAATCTAAAGTTGCAGTGGTAGCCAAAACCTTACAAGAACGGGAGAACATGATTTTGATTCTCAAGTTTCATCTTTTGAGGGCACAACATCGGATGCAGCAAAATGCAGATCTTCACAGGACATAGAGAAGTTTTGTCATTGGAGATTATGTCTTTGTGAAGCGTCAGCCGTATAGACAGAAGCCGCTGGTGATACGAGGTAACCAGAAGCTAGCTCCGAAATATTATGGGCCATACAAGATCCTTGACAAATGTGGTTGGCTTACAAGTTGGAACTTCCTGCAACATCATTGATACACCCGGTGTTCCATGTTTCACAACTGAAGGAGCTTGTTGGGAATGTTCAAGTCGCAACAGAGTTACCAAGAGTGAGTTCTGATGTCTTACTAAAGGAACCTGAGTTAATATTGGAGCGCAAGATGGTTCAAAGGCAAGGAAGGGCTGCTACTATGGTGTTGATTAAGTGGACTAATGAGTCAGATGCAGAAGCAACTTGGGAGTATCTGTTCGGCACTGAGAAAAGGTTTCCAGATTTTAAACCTTGAGGTCAAGGTTTTCTGGAGGGGAAGGATCTGTCATGGGAGTTTAGTAATGGTGACGTGGACAAGAAGTTACGTAGAAGTGAAGATAGACGCGGAGGAAAAAAATCAAATAATTGAAGAAGAGAGATGAAGACACGTGTACGGCGGGAGATTAGAAAAGTTTGTTACGGACGTTGGAGTTGATAAAACTCTGTTCTTAGTCTCTTTTGTATTTTCATCCAGAAAATTGTAGAACTTTCTTTACCCTAAACTTCTGTAAACGTTTAATTCTCATTTTAGTTGGAAGATTGATTCTTTGGCGATATCTTCGACTGGTGAGAAGGTTTAGTTGTTTTACGAATATCTATTCCTAAATCAATAGACTAACGAGTTTACTCTATCATCTTGCTTATAAAATATATATTAATCTCTGATTTTCTAAAAAGGATTTTTCTTTGTTTTTTAAAAAAAACTACAGGCCAAAACCACCAGGAAGCTTGTGAAGGATGGTTTATGCTTGAAATATTGGTCTATGAGGATAAGATTCTCAGCTAGTTCAAAATTCTCAAAATATATCTTCCTGTTGGAATCTCTAATCTCTATGAAGATAAGAAGCACTAAATGATAAGCTTGATTTAGTTATAAATCAATTTTCAGTTTATAATTTATGCAATATATTTTTATCAGTGAAAAAGAGAATGATTAACAAAAGAATGATAATTGATATTTTAAAGCTATTTTAAAATATTTGATTTGTAAAATAACATTATTTTATGATTGCTCAATAAATTTGAAATTTCATAACCAAAATGAAGATTGTGTTTAGAAATTAAATTAGCAGTTATGCGCTGAGATTTAGATTTAATATTCGAAACTAATTTTATAATAAAATTTTGAAATTAAAAACTAAATTTGCGACTAAAATAATAAAATATTTAGGTTTTAAGAGTTGTGTTTAAAGTTTAGAGTTTCAACCCTCACCCCTAATCATAAACTTTAAAACTTCAGTTTTCATAATATAACTTTAATCTCAAATTGAAATTCAAAATTTAATTATTTAAAAAACATTCTAAACTTTAAATTTTAAACCTCAAATAGTAAATCATAAATCTACACCCTAAATCTAATCCCTAAACTCCAAATTTAAACCTTACATACAAAATTTTAAAACTCTAATCTTTTATTATTCAACTTCAAATTTAAAATTTAATCATAAAATATAATATTAAATCTTAAATCTACACACAAAATAATATATTCTAAACCTAAATTTAATCTTTTCACAATTCACTCTCAAATCTTAAACTCTAAATTTCAAACACCATACTTCAAACTTAAACTATAAAACCTTATTTTCGAAGCTTCTATCTATACTCTAAACATTAATAACAAAATTTAAAACTAAAGTTTAAAATTACTTTTTAAATTTTAAATTTTGAAATCTAAATCTTTAAATTTTGTCTCAAAATAATTTATTTATATTTCAATTTTACCACCAATATTTTGGGTATTAAAAATAAATAAAATAGGAAAGTAGTTACAAAAATTTAATTGGTCAAAATAAACTGACCAATAACGTACAAGGCTGGAGATTAGACCTTTTAAACCACAACCGTTGATTAACCTAGAACTGATGGACAAGATGTTGTGTCTCTAATCTCTTCTCTTATGTTTCTTTGGGAATTAACTCCATATACCCCATGCCCTCATTAACTCAACCTTACTACCCTAACCCTATTCATCCTAACTCTTTATCCTTGCACTCCCTAATCTAATGTGTATAGCTCGGGTAGTGTTAAAAACAGCAGATCCAATGAAAATAGTGAGAGATTGAAAAAGAATTTGAAAACTATTTTTATAGATTTTTGGATATATGTTATCTATGTTTTGATGATTTTTCGTGTGTAATTTCATTTAAGATGAATTATACATCATGGGTAATGTAAAATCCTAACAATAACGTTCTAAAAACGGAATAGTTTGTGGAAGAACAAATTATGGGTATTACCAGGAGAACTACGCATTACTAAGGCAAAATAGTAAGGAACACTAGGTGATAGAAGGAAATACACAAAAGAAATAGTTGCATCTGTTTTGTCTCAAGATTATCCTGGTACATTTGACCCACCAATTCCCAAAGTTCTGATCGATTTGGTTCATCGCAGAGTTGGTGTGAAAGTATCATACACCGCCGCATGGAGAGGAAAAAGAGAAGCTGCTAATGAAGCGCGAGGGAGTCCAGAAGAGAGTTTTACTTTACTACAATGTTATATGCACATGCTGGCACAAACCAATATTGCCACAAGAACACTTGTAGAAGTGGATGAGGACCAAAAATTTAAATATATGTTTTTTACACTTGGAGCTAGCGTAGAAGGGTTCCGTGCAATGAGGAAAGTCCTCATTGTGGATGCAACACACCTCAAGAATGTTTATGGTGGAGTTCTCCTTGTTGCGACAGCTCAAGATCCCAATCATCACCACTACCCAATTGCGTTTGGTGTAGCAGATAGTGAGAATGATGAAAGCTAGATATGGTTTATGGAACAGTTGAAAATAGTGATATCCGATGTCCCGGGATTGGTGTTTCTTTCAGTTAGAAACAAAAGCTTGATCAAGTCAGTACGTCTAGTGTTCCTTGAGGCCAAACATGGGTATTGTATTTGGCGGGAAGGTTTATACTGTTGATTTGGCGGGAAGGTTTATACTGTTGATTTGGCTATGAAAACTTGCAGCTGTGAGCAATTCGATAAAGACAAATATCCGTGTGTGCATGGAGTAGCTGCTGCCACATTCGTAACTAAGGCAGCAGGAAGGGAACTCCATCTATCTGAGTATTGTTCAAAATACTATTTAGTGAAACAATGGGCTTTGGCTTATCACATGACAATATATCATGTTCCTCATATGTCTGATTGGGTTATACCAGAAGATGTTAGAGAAAAGAAAATAGTTCCCCCGGATTATGAAAATAAGAAAGGAAAACCACAACAAACAAGATTTGCATCAGTAGGAGAATCCTGTGGAAGAGGAAAAAGAGGCAGATGGAGAGCTAGAGGAGAGCTAGAGGAGACAGAGGAAGCGGCAGAGCCAGAGGAGCAGTTCTTGCATCTTATTTTGAATGTGGAAGTGCTTCAGGTACTACCTAGGATTTACTGGTTTTATTATATGTAACCTGGACTACTAGGGATTACTCGTCTTATTAAATGTAATCTGGACTACTGAAGATTACTCGTTTTACTATGTGTAAACTAGACTACTAGTTATTACTAGTTTTATTATATGTAATCCGAACTACTAGGGATTACTTGTTTTATTATATGCTATTCGTAACCAATATATATCACTAGGTAAATTATTTATGATGTACATTTAAACTATTTTTTCTGATTATTTTCACTTCCTAGGCTATGTCTATGATAAATATATACATCTAAACTATTTTTGATAATTATTTTCAATAATTAAAGAAAAGCTTATCAATTTCCTAAAAAACATCCTTAACTTTCTACGTTAGTTAGTGAATGGTTCTAGTATAGTGAAGAGAATTTTTCAAAATACGTATTCCTTGTAAATTGTGTATGAAAATGTCTTCCTTAACAAGATTGACTAGGTAAAATCACTGGTTTTACTACAAAACCTTCAATTTTGTGATGGTTTAACTAGATAAACGTAAAAATTGCCAAAGTATTACTATGTATATAGTAGTATTACTACAACCATGGAGATTATTAGGTGTATTACTAAGTGTTACATATAATACTAAATTTATACATGACAGCTGCACGTTTTACATGTGAAATTTGACGGCTGCACGTTTTACATGTGAAATTTGACGGCTGCACGTTTTACATGTGAAATTCATTTAAAAAAAAAATTCATTTCATCCATTTTATTGCATTACAACAAACCCAGTAATTCTAGTTATCACAGCTATTCATTTTTGGGCAGAGTAACACCAGTAATCCAAGTTATCCCAACTATTTCATTACCTGTCTTAAACATCCAAAAGAACATTTCAACAGAGTTTTAACATCCAACAACAAAAACCAAGCATTATCCTACAAGTTTCGAACATCCACAATACTTAAATAAACCATCTAAATACATAAGGTAGCTCCATACATAAGCCTTTAAGCCTTTGTTTTAGGCTTCTTCCTCGCCTTCTTCCCCGCCGTGAAAGGAGTCTGCACCCACTGTGATGGTTCAGACTTCCTCTTTTCCGTTATCGTAGGTGCAGCATCAACAGCTCTCGTCCTAGGCCTTTTTACTTGAACCTTTCCTCGGTTTTCCATACATTTATGTCTTTTCCTTGCATCTAAGCAAGATCCCAAGCCGCCTCACTGCTATCCTCACAGTCCTTGTAGACGACCATGACTTGGAATTTATGCCCTTGAAACTTTAATATCACAGTTTTTTTGGTTTTAGCTTCAAGCTTGAAAGCTTCTTGTTGACTCTAGAGTTCACTATAGTTACGCCACACAGCCCTGAACTCTTCATGGAATGTGTTCAAGCGTGCCTTGAGGTTCGGAGTTTGCATGCTTGCATGAAGCATGATAACTAAAGGAGATAAAAAAAAATTTAATAAAACCAGACGAAAAACAAAAACAAAAAAAAAAACTAGGAGAAAGATCACAAGAAGTTTAACTTACTGAGAAGTGCAGTGGTAAATGCGTAGAGAATCCATAAAAAATCGCAGGAAGTAAACCACAAGACAAAGCTGGCTACATAACAAAAAAAATCAAAAGTTGCATATCAAAAGGTAGGAGGAATTTTTATATGACATGAGAGAGATACTGAGTATTAAAAGTACCGGTTAATCCAAGCAACACAAACACCAAACGTGGTTGTCCACAAACATAGACTGTCTTCCTAGACGCAGATCACCCACGAATGACAGGCCTGAAAAGCGTTCACGAGTAATAAATTAAAAAAAAAACTCTAAGTAAAATTTTCCATGGAGATGAAAATAAAGAACTCAGTTACTCACATGTGAGGAGGCCTCATCTTTGCAGATAAATGTGGCGAGAATTGCCTTATGATCCGGATAGCCTTTTCACTGAAAGTAGCTGCAAAGCTGCAAAAAGAGAACCCAAAAAAATACCACAAACGCATGAGCATTATTTATTTAATAAATGCCAAGGAACATAAACAAAACATGTTACATAAACATACAAATCACTGGATAAGCTTACAGCTCTTAAACAAAAACACCAACGCCATAATCAAAACTTTATTGGGATGTAACATATTATTCATCCAATTGAAGAGCTAATAAATTGAACTATAGAGAACCTGCAACCAATGAATATCTCTCTAAGCAGAGATATAAAAGTAGAAACTAAGGAGAAATCAAAGGAGGTACCTGTCGTTAAGGAAAGCTAAGCTTAAGGCTGTGAGAGCAGCGCCAATGATGGCAAGAGGTCGGGTGATAAGTGCAAGACCTTGGCTCAAAAGAGGATCATATATTCAGAATTTCTCAATCAATTAGAGCTCAAAAAAAACAATGAAAGCATGGCTTTGACATATATACCTAGAACAAGAATCAACATGAGGAAGTAATTCGTCCGATAGCTGCAACAAGAAAAATCAGATGAAAATCCAAATCAACACAAACACACATATAGAAAGAAAGAGAGAGGGAAAGAGTAAGATACTAGTAGAGATTGCATTGGGGCCCCGATTGCATTTGATACAGCTCATCCATTTAGAGAAAGAGCGAGAAAAGGCGAATCTGGAGAAGAACTCTGCCAAAAGAACGAGGAATTGTCGACCACTCGACTTTGCAAAAGAGAGAAGAATAGGGTCCGACAGTTGAAGAAATTGAGAAAGGAGAGTTAAAACGCCACCCTTTAGATTAAGAAACTGGGTTGGATCCGGATGGATCCGAATTACCATGGTTGGGTTATGTAATTAGGTGATTTTCGTTTGGGTTCTTCTGTCTTTAACCAGCTTTGAACCATTTTTTCCATTTAAAATAAATATAAAAGAAAATAAAGGGATAATAGGGAATTTTTTAGGAGGGCATGGGGTATATGGAGTTAATCCACTGTTTCTTTCCATCCCTTCCTCTTCTCTTTTGTTTCCACCTTTTTTTCTTCGGTAGTCTCATGCTCCCTAGTCTCACAAATATTGTCTCTCTAATCTCTTTCTTCACCACCACTAGACCTTTGTCACCACCAGATCTCGTCTTCGTCTCCACCACATCTCGTCATCATTACAGCCATAGCTTCGTCACCAAAAGGCGGATGAGGCTGAAGAAGCGTGATGGTCGTGGGCGTCAACAATGGTGGTCTCGACGTCAATAGTGGTGGTATCGACTTCGTCAATGGTAGCTTAGCACGGTGGAGGAGGCTGAATAAGCTTTACTGTGGTGTTCTTGGCTGGTGGTCTTGGCCTCAAAGATGAAGAGACGGAAGGAGCTGAAGTTGACAGCGAAGAGAAGAAGTTAACGGCAAAACTTTAGATGTAGGGTTAATTTTTTTTCTATTAGGTTAAACTTTTTAGATTTACATTTCCAAACCGGGTTCTGTAAACCAGAATATATTGTAAACCTGAATTAATAAATCTTTGGTGGTTCTAATTTTTTTTTCCCTATTAGGTTAAACTTTTTAGATTTACATTTCCAAACCGGGTTCTGTAAACCAGAATATATTTGTAAACCTGAATTAATTATCTTCGGTGGTTCTAATTTTTAATTAATTTTTGATTCCAGTATATATAAAAGCTAATTAGATAATACAAAGAAATTCATATAAATCAATTTAAATAATAAAGAAATGTTGTTGACAAAAAAAAATAAGAAAAAAAATAATAAAGAAATGTTATTTATAATAGCGGTTTGCCAATTGCGTTAAAAACATGCTATTGTTGTACCCTTAACTATAGCACTAAATAAAACTTCTATTATAAGTGTTGGACCTATTATAACGGGCGTTGTCAGAGCGGACAAGGAAACATTATTATACAAGACTCATAGCGTTTTCCGTCCGCTATTACTACCCTTATTTCCTGTAGTGATAAAGGGGCACAAATATCCCAATGCCTTTTGTGATACTGGATCATCAGTGAGCATCATGCGTAGAGCCATGGCAGAGAAGCTGAACCTGAAAGTGGAGCCTTCGAGTAATTCCTTCCCCTTTGTGGATTTCTCCAAGGTGAATTCAGGAGATATGGTGAGAGATGTTCCACTGCAGATTCATAATGCCCTAATTCCAGTAGACTTCCATGTGATGGATATAAAGATAGGTTGGAACTCTTCCCTTCTACTTAGAAGAGCTTTCATGGCTACAATGGGAGATATATACGACATGACAACAAACATGTTGTATTTCTCTCTCATTGATCACAATAATTATTATGAGCCTGTTAAAGTTAAGAGTTGATATACTCTCATTGAATTGGGTAATGGGAGATATATACGACATGACAACAAACATGTTGTATTTCTCTCTCATTGATCACAATAATTATTATGAGCCTGTTAAAGTTAGGAGTAGATCTACTCACATTGAATTGGGTAATGATGCAGGTCTCATAGCTACATGATTCTGTGATTATGAGCAAAACATAGAATCAGAAGATGGAGCATCGATCGACACCCAACACATTTTATCGATCGATAGTCCTGCAGTTCAACAATCGATCGATACCCAGCCTCAGAATCGATCGACACTCAACATCCAGATTCAGATCAACCTCATTCTTACGACGAGTAGGATGAATATTATCATGAGGAGAAACATATCGAGTAACGAGGTTTTTCTACAGAGCACGATCATGTTTTTCTATTTTCGAACGAAACTGAAGACACAGGATTGATCGACGCAACGCTATCAGCATCGAGCGACGCCAGGTCAGAACCAGTGCATCGACCAGTTTTTTCGGACGATCATGTCTACTGCATGCCAGAAGCAGTTGAATATTTCAGAAGATCAGAGGCAACATGGTACAGACCAGCGATCGATGGTCATCTTAAACCATAGATCGACGCTGAGAAGACAGAAGAGCTAACATTAGATTCAAAAGCAACAGTTCCTGGATACTTACAACCATATGAGTTTGGCATACCGCGAGACCCAGAAGGATACGCAAGAGCTATGAATGGATGAGTTCTACATGTCTCTAAAGAAGATGTAGCAGATATTCTTGCAATGGTGAATGGAGAACATAATATTTTCCGAAAGCCATTCAACTTCCAAGAAGATATCGATCGACGGCAACAACCGTACATCGATCGATGTCCATCATCCATGCGAGAAGGCTGAGTAGAATGATCCATAATCGATCGACATGCCTCTACCTGCACCGATCGACGGTCATAACGAGTTTGAATACCGAGCTTTTGATGAGAATGGATGAAGATTATTCCATTTGGAAAGAAAAGATGAGTATGGCATCTACAGAGATGAGAACGACAACGCTAGAGATATCGATGCCAAGATTGTAAATTTGTCAAAGGAAGACTTTAAAGCTACTATTCATGAGTACAGATTTATCAGCCTACCAGAGCATGCCAGTAGATTCACCAGAGAAGTGCCACCACCAGATACATATAGCAGAGAAGTGCCAACATCAGATACATACAGCAGAGCCGACATTGATGAGATGATGACTGTAGTTTACAGATCTCAGGGGATGTCCTTGGTTCATTATTGCAAGAAGCTGATGATGTCTATTATCTTATAGACAATAATCTTTCTTATTTGACAACCCGCTTGGATGAGATTCAAATTACGATTGACACGATTCAGAAAAAAAAAAGCAAGACAAGAAGATACATTGACATCGATCGACAGTCACCCTCGACCATCAATCGATACTGACCGCAACAGAGCAAAGCTGGTTACAGAGAAACACTTGCACATCAAAGATAGTCTATGCCACAGTTAGAATGTTTCAGGCTTGTATTCAACGCCTACAGGCAAGGACAAGTGCAACAGAAACTGGTGTGGAGAAACTGAAGAACTTCATGGCAAAAAGGTACGAATATATCAAATGTTTCATTGGTGCATGGACCTCGATGAGAAAAGAGGATGCTGATGCTTTTTTTCCAACAAGTAGTGTTGTTGGGGTCAAAATCGGTACGACGGAATTAATAACCAAAACTCCCCGCAAAAATACAAAAGGAACAGTTTTATAAAACCCGAGGAGTAGTTTTATAAAACTCAAAGTCATTTATAAAACTCGCAGACCGTTTTATAAAACTCGAAATGCCGTTTTATAAACCCCGAAGGCCGTTTTATAAAACCCGAAGATCGTTTTATAAAGCTCGATAATCGTTTTATAAAACTCGAAAGGACGTTTTATAAAACCCGAAGATCGTTTTATAAAGCTCGATAATCGTTTTATAAAACTCGAAAGGACGTTTTATAAAACCCGAAGATCGTTTTATAAAACTCGAGAATCGTTTTATAAAGCTCGATAATCGTTTTATAAAACTCGAAAGGCTGTTTTATAAAACCCAAAGATCATTTTATAAAGCTCGATAACCAGTATATAAAACTCGAAAGGCCGTTTTATAAAACCCGAAGATCATTTTATAAAACTCGAGAATCGTTTTATAAAACTCGAAGATCGTTTTATAAAACTCGAAGGTCGTTTTATAAAACTCGAATATCGTTTTATAAAACTCGAATATCGTTTTATAAAACTCGAAGATCGTTTTATGAAATCCGAAGATCGTTTTATAAAACTCGAGAATCGTTTTACGAAACCGCAAAAAACCGAAACAGCCGTAAAGCGCGAACTAGTCACGACTAGTTCGCCCATGGGCGAACTAAGCCAAGCCAGCTTAGTTCGCCGATGGGCGAACTAGGAGACACTCAACTAGTTCGCCCATCGGCGAACTAAGAGATACTCGTCTAGTTCGCCCATCGGCGAACTAAGCCGGTCCGGCTTAGTTCGCCGATGGGCGAACTAGAGACTTCCCGGATATTCCGCGTCTCGATCTCCCGCATTCCCGATTCAAAACTTACGTCTTTCGACAAGGTCACATTCTAAACCACGGCCGAAACATCTCCCGTTCCATCTCGATCCGACCTACCGTTCGAGTTTTACGATAAAAATCGTAAAACTTCGCTTTCTCGGAAAGAACTCGAGGAAATCGTATAAAACGGCAACGGTTAAACGAAACACCGAACATTTCCTAAACTATACGATTTATTCGAGATTTCTCGTTGAAATCATAAAAACGCGTTTTTAATAAAAAACGTCGAGTAAATCGTAAAAAACGTGTTTTTAATAAAAAGTCGAGTAAATCATAAAACCTTACGATTAACTCGAGGAATTTATTAAAAACGATGTCAGATCAGGAAACAATCCCGTAAAAAGTCGGAAAACAGATTTATCGCAAAACGGCTCGGAAGGGCCTAAAACGCGATAAAAACCCATCTTGCGATCTTAACGGAATCTAACCCGTAGATTCGATAACGTTTTGACGGTTTACTCGCAGGAGGAAAATAAAAGTCAAGTTTAAAGATAAAAGGAAGGTTTGAAGAAAAATAGAAGATTTCCGCGGAAGAAAAGGAAGGATCGAGAAAAATGGAAAATTCCCGATATAGTCGAATCTGGGCGAAATGGAAAGACCGAATGACCAAGGCGAGGAGTATATAAATAGGNTTTAAAGATAAAAGGAAGGTTTGAAGAAAAATAGAAGATTTCCGCGGAAGAAAAGGAAGGATCGAGAAAAATGGAAAATTCCCGATA